AAAAAAGAAATTGTGAACTAAGTGTTTCTTTTTCAAGCTCTGGACAATCTCAAGCACTTCATGGCAGGAGGAATGTTCAACACTATACCATTGGGGGACTTATTTATTCTTGACCTTAACTACAAATAATTTTATGTTCTCAAGTACAGAATTCACAATTTTATCTCAGCTAGTATAAACTGTAGGTGTTTTTCTTATTTATAAAAATGTCTTATCCTTTATAAAAATCCTTAAGCTATTTTTATATAGTGATTATTCCTGAAAACATTTGCTTTATACTTAAAAGGGGGGCCATGGTGTTGATCAGGGGGAAACTGTAATTGCTTGCCATCCACCTGCAATGATTTCAAGTAGGCAGGCACATCTCCAATTTCTGTGAATTGTACTAAGATCTTATTTGCTGTTATTGCTAATCTGTCTTCATTTTTCCTTTACCCAGAACAATAACATTTATTTCTGCCTGGCCTCATTTATGCACAGATATTCAATTTAATTACAAAGATAATCTCACCAGTGACAGGGAAATAGGTATAGAAAATTGGTCTTTTGGATGAGGCACAGCTGCTACAGAAACAATTTTAGAAAAGCTTAAGATTTTAGAAAAGCTATTATATAAAAAGAAAGCTTACTGTTTATTTACTTCAAGAAAATGATAAAGATTAAATGTGACCATTCCACTAGGTAATATTCCATCCACAGGATTCCACCGGTTCCCAGGAAAGTTGACACCTGGCAAGTGCTTTGCCATCTTGGGTAAATACCACTCGTAAGTCATCATCTGCCAGAAAAGTCACACATAATGTCAGCCTTTTAAACATATTTATTAAGAACAGTCAAGTTTATCAAGTAATGGCAAAAACCTCAATTACTTTTGCACCAACATCATATGTACATACTGAAAATATAAGTACAACTAAAGATGTGGCACTGATTACTTTTTTAGTGATGTAAACCTTAGATTTTATTATGACTATCATCAGTCACATTAATACCTTCTTCCAATTTAGCTCCCGTGTTTGACTCCCCAGAAGGACCTTCCCCTATTTTTATACCTGAAGCAGGGGTCTCCAAACTGGGCCACACGGCAGGAGCCAGCTTTGCTACCTGTGCTCCACCTTCTATCAGATCAGTGGTGCCATTCGATTTTCACAGGAGCGTGATGCTATTGTGAAGTGCACATGTGAGGGACCTAGGTTGCATGTTCCTAATGAGAATCTAATGCCTGATGATCTGAGGAGGAACAGTTTCATTCCAAGACCATTTCCCACCCCCACCGGCACCCCCAATCACCAATCTGTGGAAATATTGTCCTTCATAAAACTAGTCCCTGTGTGTAAAAAAGGTTGGGGACTGGGTGGATGTGGTGGCTCATGCCTGTAATACCAGCACTTCGGGAGGCCGAGGCGGATGGATTACCTGAGGTCGGAAGTTCAAGACCAGCCTGAGCAACAAGGAGAAACCCTGTATCTACTAAAAATACAAAATTAGCTGGGTGTGGTGGCCAGCTACTGGGGAGGCTGAGGCAGGAGAATCGCTTAAACCCAGGAGGCAAAGGGTGCTGTAAGCCGAGATTGTGCCATTGCACTCCAGTCTGGGCAACAAGAACGAAACTCCATCTCAAAAAAAAAAAAAAAAAAAAAAGGTTGGGGACCACTAACCTAGAGAACATGTATTCAACTTTCAGAACCAGTGTAAATATCAATTCCTCTGAAGCCCTCTTCTGTCTCCATAGCCAGAATGACATGTTCCTGTAGCACTTTGTACCCAGCTCTATTAGAGCCTGTTTCTCACCAGACTATGAACACCCAGAGAAAAGGCACTGTATTTTTTCATCTCTGTGTCCCTGCACCTAGCACACTGCCTGGCATAGAATAGTTCTCAATTCATTATTATTATTACTTTGAGACAGATTCTCACTCTGTCACCCAGGCTAGAGTGCAGTGGGGTGATCTTGGCTCACTGCAACCTCCACCTCCCAGGTTCAAGCAATTCTCCTGCCTCAGCCTCCTGAGTAGCTGGGATTACAGGAACATACCACTATGCCCAGCTAATTTTTGTATTTTTGATAGACATGGCATTTCACCATGTTGGCCAGGCTGGTCTCGAGCTCCTGGAAGTGATCTGCTCACCTGGCCTCCCAAAGTTCTGGGATTGTGGGCATGAGCCACTGCACCCAGCCAGCTCTCAAATAATGTTTGCTGAAGTTGAAATGCCTCTGACGGCCAGACTAGACAATGTAGACAAAATAGCCATTCTTTTATTCATGCAAAAAAACAAGTATGCTTATCTATAATGAATAAGATATAATCCCTGCCCTGGAGAAGCTCAGTCATGTAATAATCTAGGCCTCAAACTTAAAAACTCTTTTGGTATTTCAAATTATCTGAATTTATTAGTAGTGCTATATTAATTACATATCCTTACAAGTTCTTTTGATTAAAAAATTTGCATATATTAGAAAAAATCACTTTACTTAATTCTATACTCAATACATACTTAATTCTAAACTTGGATGTGTATCTATTAACTTTATTTAAAGAAGAGACTTGCATTTACATCACCAAAGCTTTGTTATGTTTGGATCTCATCATTTGAGAAACTGTGCTTATGTTTTACTTATGCTAAAGCATAAGTCATTTAGTGAATGACAAATTAATTTTAATGTAAGTGTAAATTGTAAATACTCAAAAATCCTTACTGAATTAGGCTTCATCACCCAATAGCTCCAGTTCTTGAGGATATTATTAATTACATACCCACTGTGTGCTATGGATTTTATTGTTCCTCATTTAATTCTCATCATAACCCTGCTATGCGAGAATAATTGTATCAGACACTGTTGAATGCCCACTCAACAGTGAATACCTTGTTCTTTCTCACTAACACAATCTTGATTTTGATCAGCTGGCTTAGGCTGCAATGCTCTCAGGTCTAGTCATTCTCCTTTGCTAATGAGCAGTTGAGTATATGACTAGGTATTGGTCAGTGGGGCCTGGGTAGAGGTCTGCTGGGGGGCTTCTGGGGCACATGTTAGTCTCAATAAGTAGAAAAAGAGTGGGAGATGCCCCAGAAGAAGCACCATGCTTTGTTTTAGGTTGTGATGTTTGGAACTGGGCATCCATCCTGTGACTGGGAGGGAAAAGTCAAGAGAATGGCAGAAAAGCTGCCCCAGAAACAGACGTCCCTGAACTACTCATATTATCAATCCTAACATCACCTATCTCCAGACTGCTTGTTGTGTAAGGCTAAAAAAGTCGGTAATTTAAGTCAGGTATTTCTGTGTCTTGCATTCAGATGCATCCTAACTTATTTAATAATGACTTCCATTTCATAAATAAGGAAACAGAAGCTCTGAGAGGAGAAAAATCATTAGCCCCATGTCACATATCCAGGAAGTGACAGAATGAGGACTTGAGTATAGGTCTAATTCACTTTCTAATCCATGCTTCTCAAGTACAGTATCTGACATCCTAAACAGTATTTAAAATCACAGTGTGGAACTATGTTTTTAACACATAACCTAGCTTCTGTCAGAAACTAGACTGAAGATCAAATTATTCGATCTGTGTACATGATATAAATGCAACTGCTTATAAAAACATAAAATTGTGTATTTATAAATCTGTTGATAAAGTTTTCTCCAGAAATTGTAATTATTCATTAATTCAACAAAATGCATTAAGTACTATGCCTAATAATTTGTTCAACTGAATTCACATTATTCTTTTAAGATTAGAATTCCTCTTTTCTTAATGACTGCTCTAAAAACACCAGAGATAGGTTTCTTCCCTTTTATGTATTTATGGCCTAAATAATAACTCTTATAGTTTAAATAGTTCAATTAAAAAATTGTTTTCATAGCCCTCAGCATTTTCACAAGTCCTCTCTTCATGTTTTTTGTCATAGCACTAACAAAGTTTACGTAAAAAATCTATAGTATAATTGTGGTTAATAATTTGTTTTGAGTGAAATGTTTACTTAACCACAGTATGATTTATTTCCTACTCAATATCATTTCTTTTAATCGTTGAACCAATGGGCAAGGTTAATTTGAATGGCTGAGTTAGCTGAATGTAAAATAACAATTTTAAAATAGATTTACAATACAGCAAAGACTTTTATGGTTTGTCACAGGAACTAGAGACCTAAAATATTATGAATCTAACATGAAAAACATTAATTCTAAAACATTCAGTTTGGATGTTTTGAAAGAAGAAAGAGGCAACTAGTGTGACTTACGCTATTAAATGAAAGAATGTCATATTCTACCTAACAGTGATCATGAAAACTGTACCCATCCACTGTTTTAAAGAAGATAGTTTTTTCCAAAACATACATTTTTAAATAATTGCTATATTCTAAGTATATTTTTCACATACTTACTTCCTGATCAACTAGGGAAATGTCAGGTCTCAATCCCTCACAGTAATGCATGTAACGGAGAGAATTCCCGGGCAAATCTCCTCTGAGTAAGATAATTGCATCATGAGGCATGGATATGAGAAGGTTCTTTGCAAATTTATCAATCACATAGTTGGTCCTTTGGTCACAAACGCTAAATAAAAGGATCGAAAAAAAAAATTAAAATAGCAACACTTTGCTACAGTTTTCATAACACTGGGCTTATTTTCTATGTCATTCCTTTCCTATTATACAATCAACATTTAGTGTTTCAATATATTCTAAAATAATAAATAATTTGAAGAGAACACTATCGTCTGATAAAAAAGCAGCAGCTAATGTGCAATTGAAAAAAATCAGTCTACTGCTTACTTCTGGAATTTATAATCATTTCCACAAAAAGGGAATCAGTGCCTAAGAATAGGTCCCTTTTCCCCCCAAGTGCAATCCAATCTTATCTTTAGAAAGTAAGATTTCTAATTCCACTTGGAATTTAAGGCAATTTCATGTTAATTCCATTTACTCAAAAGAACTTTCAGAAATGCAAAAGGAAATCTGCCCATTTCTGACTTGAATTTGTATGATTTTCTTGCCTGCAGAGGTTGATCCTTCCACCTCTCCCCATGAATCACAGGCCTCCTGTGTTCCTCTCTGCCTTTAGAGATCAAGAAATCGCTAAGGGGATGAGACCAATGAGAAGCAAGGGGAGGAAGAGTTTACTGAGTTGCTTACTTCTCTCCAGGCATTATTTGCTACTGCCAACAACTTCATTCTTTTCAAGAATAAAGTGAACTTTCTAGCTTCAAAGAAAATCTGGCATGAATTCTGAGACCACTATATGAAAACAGAAGACGACGACAAGACAGTAATAAGTATCAAAAAATCAGATAATCAATGTCCTTCCTGTTATGACCAGGTCCATTACATTGGATGAAGCTGAAAAACACAGCCTAGAGCTGAATCACCGGGTTAGTATCATGAAGCAAATGAGCACCTCCAAGAACAGAATATTATCCCTGCCTTTGTAATTCATGTAAAAATCACTGTTTCCTACCTGATTCCCTACGCTACAGAGTGATGAGGCACATTGTGCCACCTAGCAAAGGTGCTACGTATTCCATTCCCCTGAGGCAAATAAAAAAATCAAACAAGATAAAAACACCTAGCCTGTGCAAACATGTCTCATGCTGAACTTGGACTGCCCTAATGGCCTGAGCCAGGAGATAACTGGGATTAAAAAAGGCTGGGACACACACTGTGGGCTTGGTGAACCTTCTTGAGCTAGTGACGATGTGTCCAGGACAAGCAGCCCCTTCTCTCAAGGCCTCCTGGTGGCCTTTCTACCACCAGCTGTACCCCAGTATTATAAAGAACAATGGTTTTTTAACTTTTATTTTAGGTTCCGGAGTATGTATGTGGGTTTGTTATTTGTTATATAGGTAAACTTGTGTCACAGGGTTTGTTGTACAGGTTATTTCATCACCCAGGTACCAAGCCTGGTTCCCAATAGTTATTTTTTTCTGATCCTCTCCCTCCTCCTAGCCTCCACTATCAAGTACGCCCCAGTGTCTGTTGTTCCCCTCTTTATGGCCACAAGTTCTCATCATTTAGCTCCCACTTACAAGTGAGAAGATGCAGTATTTGGTTTTCTGTTCCTGTGTTAATTTGTGAAGGATAATGGCCTCCAGCTCCAACATGTTCTGGCAAAGGACATGATCTCATTCTTTTTATGGCTGCATAGTATTCCATGGTATACATGGACCACATTTTCTTTTTCCTACCTGCCATTGATGGGCATTTTGGTTGATTTCATGTCTTTGTTATTGTGAACAGCACTGTAATAAACATTTGCATGCATGTGTCTTTATGGTGGATTGATTAATATTCCTTTGGGTTTATATCCAGTAATAGAATTGCAGGGTTGATTGATAAGAACATTGGTTTTTAAAGTTAAAAGAGAAAAATTAATCCTTTAAAACAATACCAGCCAAATCTCACTATAGCAAAATTCCAAGGGACTGTCTTCCAATTCCATAATGTGTACTTGATATTGCTGGAAATAAACAAACTATAATCTAAGACATCTTTTATGTTAGACTGAGATTCTTATTGTAATGATTATTAAATAGATTTTGAGAAATACATGTAATATCAATAATACATGAGTTAAGAAACTTTTAGAACTTAATTTAAAAATAATTAAGGCTGGTGTGGTGGCTCACACCTGTAACTCCATCACTCTGGGAGGTTGAGGAGGGAGGCTTGCTTTAGGCCAGGAGTTCAGGACCAGCCTAGGCAACGTGGTAAGACCTTGTTTCTACTAAAAAAAGAGAAGAAAAGAAAAAAGCCATGCTAATAGTGGCATGTGCCCATAGTTCCAGCTACTGAGGAGGCTGAGGCAGAGACCTGCTTGAGCCCAGGAGTACGAGGCTGTAGTAAGCTACGATCATGCCACTATACTCCAGCCTAGGGGACAGACTGGGACCTTGTCTCAAAAAAAATTAATATTTACTACTACAGGGTCAACTGGACATAAAGTAAAGCATAAAGTGAATTATTTTAGGATATACAAAAAGACCCTCAATCATTTTACTCTTCACCTAAGTGTTATTTCAGGTCATAGAATTTTACCTATACTACGGATTCTGAAAGTATCTCTAGGGTTCTTTAGAGAAAAAGATACAAATAGTCTTCATGCACCACCTAAACCCTTGCTTGCAATGGCCTGAAACCATACATCACCCATGCTGAGAGTCTGGTTCTGGAGGTTTAACAGCCCCAAAAGTTAAAGAACTACTGCATTCAACCAAGCTGTCTCACTTTGAGTCTTGAAAACCAGTAGAAGTTAAAACTGAAATAAACTTTGAATCTAAACATTCAGCTATCTCTGGCTTGACAGCTACTTCTTACAAAAATAACCATGTGTTACCTGTAATTAGAATACATTTGGTAAACTACAAAAAGAATTGCAGAAAGCCATTCCAGACACTGAAGCCCATTGTTATTCAGCACTCGGTTAGTCTCAGACACAAGTGCAGCCAAACCAGTGCCAGCGAGGACAGCCACTACTGCATTGCTCTGCATCCAGAATCGTTCCACCTGTGAAAAAGACCAGTAGGTCCAGTTGACTAGTTTATGCTATTCATCAGGTATGTATATATTTTTTAAATATACTGTGTAAACCTAGTTGCATGCGCCTGTTATCATTCAGATTTTGTTAGCTGATTTCCCGAATCCAAGCCCAGGTCATATCGTTTTTCTATTTCAAACATTATTCCTTCCCAGTTTGACAGGTGCATCTCCCTTTTTAGATCCACACATTCACTTCAATACTGTGGCCTTACTCTTAACTCCAGTAATATACAGGCTGAAAAAGGTAGAGAAATGCTTTTGCTTTACTCCTGATGTTTCCTTCCACAGGGAGAAGCTCCACTTTCCTAGCCTCTCTCTGACCCCTCACGTATTTCCTCCTGTGGGATGTAGGGACTGATCCAACTAGGGAGTTTGGGAGCTGGGACTCAGCCTGCAGGGCCTTCCCTTTTCCTCTCACTTTTTCCTGGAAGTGAGCTAACCACAGGAAGCACTTGACCAGGGGCAGAGTCTGTCTCTATGGCACCAGTGGGGTGGGGAAGACATGGGAAGAGGAGTGCCCTGCACAGTACTGCCTGTGACTAGTGGGTAAATCTGTTCATTCTGAGATGCTCAAAGAGGAAGCCCTCTTGGCCACAGATAGAAGCCACATTTTCAAGTCTCAGTATTATCAGTAATAAAGGTGATTCTCCCACCCGTTATACTGGATTACCTTGTTTCTCAATTGATTCAGAACTCAGGTGATCAAGTAGGGTATTATTTATTAGGCTTCCTGAACACAGACACACACACAAAGACCAGTTGGTTTCAGCTGTCAAAAAAAAGCTATTGATATTTACAGAGATTCTATTATAAGTAGAAGAAATACTCTAATCTCAGAGACTGCTGCCAAGGAAAACAGAAACACAGTTGCTCTTCTGCCTAGGCATGGGACAGGGGAGGTAAGAAACTAGGGAGTATGTGGTTAAGTGCCCTCAATTGTAATTCATATTTCTTTTGCTATTAAAAAATTCCAGGAGAAATGCTGTTGTGCCTATATTTGAAAGCGCGCGTGCGCGCGCGCACACACACACACACACACACGCACATACGACTGACTTAAATCTACCTTACATTTTTCTATTTAACAAGTGTGTTAAACACTGCATTCTTCTTATCCTAAAAAGAGGCCTTAGCTGTAATGACTCAATAATTTAACTATGATTTATAAAAATGTAAATACAATTTTAACTATTCCTCAAGTAATCTGCTCTTCTACAAGATTCATGAAATGCAAATTTGTACATTCTTCTCAAACATTCTGGTCAATGGTACATCTAAGTAAAACTTACCACACCCATGAAAAGTGGTTTTGAAATATCTAAATTTGCTCTCCAAGCAAAGAACAATGAATAAATGCAAAACATTCCAGTAAAAAGCCATACTAATGATGGATTCTGCCTGTCCCTACAAAAAATAATAAAAATATATCTAAAATATTTATATAAATATACATAAATATCAATAATAATATCACAGGACTGTAAGCTATTAGATCTATAAAAACTTTCCATTTTTAACTACGATCAAAGAGAGATGTCGGTGTTTAAAATCTGAGTTGAAACAAATAACCAAAATATAGTAATAAACTTGAACTACAACTTGGGACTATGCAATAAAGGAGATAAAGCTAACATTCACAGAAGAAATACAAACTACTAATTTTGTTAAATTTCAGAAGTGATCAAATATATGCAAAACAGATATTTTCATAATTGAAATAATAAAGATTTAAGAATGATAAATCTCAATGCTGGTGTGAATGCAGCAGTATGACAGTATGTTAGTATAATCCTTCAGAAAAGTTACTTTAGTAACATCTATATCAGGAGCCTTAAAAATATTCATAATCGTTGACTCAGTTATGTGACATGCAGGCATAAATCTTTAAGCAATAACCAGAAATGTGAATAAAGATTAATCCATAAAAATGCTTTGGTATTACTTACAATAATACCAAATAAAGAGTGAAAGCGATCTAAAGACTTCTCAATAGAAGAACATTTAAATTAATTCTCCTTGGTCATAGGATGTTACATAGACATTTAAATGATTTTAAGTATTTTTATAGTATGGAAAAATGTTCATAATACCCTGTTTAAGTGTTAAGTAAACAAAACTATAGATGCATATGCAAATATATATTTGCACACAAATACATACATTCAAAAGACTAGATAATAAATTAATTAATAGGTTTTATAGTGCTATATTTTTCAGGGTTTCTTTTCTCATCAGGGGTTACTTTTATCATCAGAGGAATTAAAATAATTGCTTCTTTTTAAGATCAGCACTAATAATCAGTTACGCTGAGTAAGAGATCAAGCCTGAAGTTTAGGACATAAAACGACTGCCTATTTAGACAGTAATATACTGCTCAATTTCTTGAAATCATTGATTTAGAATCAGAATAAAAATAAGAAAGCAATACATATTTATCTTAATAGATAGCTAGGAGACTCACTTATTTGAAATATAAAATAATACTAGCAATGTCCTAAAGTGACACAATGAAAACATTAATTCATTTCATGAACACAGAAAAGTAAGAGAAAAAGGCATTCTATTACTCACTTTCTTGCTAAACATACATTTGCACAAACTGCAAGGGCTTGGATGTTGAATGAGAGTTCGGTCCTCATACTTGTGACTTGAGAACTGCAAAAAACAACCTAACTTACTGTTGGCAGAAAACAATTTGATTAATTCCAAATAAAATATTCCTTGTAGGATACATTTGATTATATTCTGAACAATCATAAGGGCCGTGGTCAGATTTAAAAATTTTGCCTTTTAAAGTTGGAAGACAAAGTGCAATAGAAAGAGTTAAATAGTTGCAAGATGTTTTCCAATTGTAACATGTGGTTACCAACTTACTTAATTTGGAATAGGATCAGAACAAATAATGCTTCTGTATTTTTGATATTGGATTCCTGTATAGAACATCCCTGAGCTTCCTAGCTCTTTGAAATGAGTTTCTGAATTTTTTCCTGTTGGCAGTGTAGACATGGTCAATAGTGATTTAGCAACTGGTAACAAAATTAATTTGAATAGCTTTCTGGAGATCTAATATGAAGAAAACAAAGGCCAGAAGAGATGATTCCCAGCTATTCTTTTGCGGGTTATCTTTTTTCTTACATGGCTTCCTTGTTTTCTATATTATTTGTTTTGGTTCGAAAATATTTAAGCAATCTCAGAGAAATGTATTTTTTTTCCTACAATTAAACTAAATTCTTCCATTGACACATACGCATTTTCAGGTGCTGAGTCCTAAAATAGCTTCTGTTTTAGCTGTCTCCAATTTTTAAAAAAGAAATGACTCTATACATCATCTCAAAGAACTTTCTTCTCCCTACCGGCAATTTTACTGGAGAAAATGTGATACCATAATTATGGACACCAGACAATGTGTATTTTACTAATGAAGACTCATCTACTATGAGAAGATATCCTTACTCATTTTCAAATACACTTGAAAAATTGATTCCAGCATGAGGCCCATTTCAAACCATTCTTCAAAAGGAATAAAGTCAGTCTCAAAATTAATTCTTGGAGATCTATTGCTTAAGTGTAAGTGCAAAAAGATAGTCACTGCCTAAGGTTAGATTTGATAATTTCCTTGTACAGGATTGCAATTTAGAGATACGCATGGGGAAAAATTTAATTTGCTTGACTGAAAAAGAGCAGATAATTAGCTTCTATCATTTTGAAGGATTTTCTCATAAGTTAATCACGAGTTGCATTTTTTAGCACTCCTGCCCACCCAAAACAATTAAAGACTAGAAATTCTCACTCAGGGAATGCTAAAATTACACCTTCATTCTACATGATGACTTGGTCCACACAAAAGTATGAGTGTGAGTGGTCCTCACTTTTGTCAAGTCTTTTTTCTGGGTAGACAACCTGCTATTATTTTAATGTAAAGGAGGCCTTTAAATCTCCCAATAGATGACTTTTATGTGCAACTAATAAAAGTTAGACATATGGTCTAGGATTACTCTTGAGAGTTCTTTGGAGTTCATGTAGGGTTTGCTAAGGCAAAACATACCAGTTATCCTTAATGCTATAACAATCTCTGGAAGGTAGGTAGAAAAGAGCAGGCAGTGAGTCCCCATGCATGGAGCAAAGCAGAATAAAGTAAAAGCCCAGAGACATTGATATGACTGTCTTTATCTTTATCTCATTTATTTATTT